CTCGGGCTTAATTCTTCGTACGCCGGCGATCGTTGGAGTTTAGCAATAACTTCTTGAATGGTAGCGTTTGTAGTTTAGCGTATGGTAGTTCATTATTAATTTTTAATTGCTAGCTAAAATTATGGAAAGCACTTTTATGACTCTATGCCAGTACATATGTATGCAGTGAGTGCACAAGTTCTCCGACTTAATTGGCCACAGTTAATGCATTTACATGGAGCAAAGTCGGGGGGAGGGGAGCGCGTCACTAACTTCGTTCTTTCGCAATTCATGGTAGGTAAAGACAAGTTCTACATCACTAGACTTTTGGAAACGGTGTAAGAACAATAGTCTACTCACGCGATCCCGGCTGATTCTTCAGCGTTCAAGGGACTCTTTTCTTCGGTTCACAATTCTATTGACTGCATATGTAATTGTATTCTCTCCTTTGATGACGGGCGCAGAGCGCTAAAATTATTACTAGACGAATGTTAGATCTATCCTTTTCTAGGGCACCACCGTATAATGAGAAATACTCGACAATATGACCAGGCACACTTGAGCGGTCTACAACTGTCCTCTTAATGTGAGCTCTTCCATCGATTGCCACAAATGCCCAATTAACTCTTCTCATTTTCCTCCACTAGATCCTTAGAGCTAGATGTGAGCTACAACACATCTACTTTTTGTTTTGATAATCTTTTTTTCCATAAAAGTCTTTGAGAGGAACGAGTGGTAACAGTGAGCTCTAAGTAGAATGATTCGGTTCGGGTGTAAGAAGCACTTCCCGACGTTCACAGTCGACTGGACCAATACAGCGTCTTAAAAGCAGAATTTAGCACAATCTGAGATCACAAATGATATATTCTGAGCTAAGGAGCTTCATTGCAACTGATTTCCTATATCAGGTATACCTTCATGGATAACCTTTTTTCAGTACGATGATTTCTGTATTTACCGTTTTCGACTGCCAATATTTCCATTTTGTAAAATATATCTCCTTTGACAGCGAATCTTATCTGCACTGATGGGTAGCAATCCAAATTTTCAATTCACAATAATTATGAAAATCATAATGAAGTTCATTACTATTGTGCTAACACAAGCAGACAATGCTAAGCACAAGTCATAATGGCCATAACGCCAACAACAATTGTGTACGATTTCTACGCTCCTCACTGTAAATTGAGCTTTAAATTTAGTCGCGCACTTCGAAATGATGAAGTGCTTAACCCATGAACGGCAGCGCATAGCAGCGTAGAATGGCAGTGCAGTAACTGGCTGTTGGAGCCACATAGACATGTACGTACACATATATACATATGTATGTCTGTAGGTATGTAAGTAAGTGCTTTAAAGTTTGACGCAACCAAAAAGTATGTAGGAAAGGAAGCAGCTATGCGCAAACATGAAACTTATATACACACCTACATACATACACTAGCACACGTACATGCGAGTATATGCAGATATGAATTTTTGTTTGCTGAATTTTCATTGGACTTGGATGATTTAGCTAAATCACTGTGCAAAATTCAATTTGGCCAGCGGCCAAGCGGAACGGCTCAAGCATATATGCCGCTGCTACCGTCGTTGCGGCCGCCGCAACTATCCTACCACCGCTATTTGAGTCAGTTACGACGCTACCTCCGCTGCGGTCAGCCACAAAAAAGCGCAAAATTTTTGGTTGATTGTCTGTGAGCGCCAGTCGGTTGGTCAGCCAAAGCCAAAGCGACGAAAAGCCAGTTAGTTGGTTTCTCGAAGAGGTATACCCGGTAACCTCATGCCCATATACATACATTTACCAGGCGAACGAGCACCTTTTGTTTTTTTTTTTTTTGGTTAGAAGGTATTTCAGCGAGCGATCGAGCGTTTACTTTGTTGTTAACAACCAACTCAACTTGGCCGGCTAACAAAAGCTGATTATGCAATTGTAATTCGTACTTGTACTGTAAATAAATATCCAGCCTCCACCCAATGCCACCAACCAAACAACCAAACACTCATTTCTCCAGTCAGGTCAGGCAGTCAGTTAGTCAGTCAGTCAATGTTATTGCAAATATTCACTGCACTTACATATACAGCTAAAGCGCAAATTCTCAGACAGTTGCAAGTATTCCTAACTGCAAGAATTCCATATTCTCCATCGTTCGTTATCACAATAGTGATTGCCTACATTGTTGCTGAAACTCGTACTTACATATGCTCGTATGTACATTTATATTATCATGCTGCTGGCTCATGTTGTTGTTACAGCTCCAGCTACTGTCCACCGTGTTGTGGCGTGTGGACATTGCCAATTGTGTGCACTTTTGATGAGAGTTCCATTTGGCTGTTAGTGATGGCAGTAGGCGGCGACTAACGATTGTTGCCTTTTGCTACCGCCTGCCTCATGCCTTATGCCTCATGCCATTCCTTATCTAATAACAAATTGCACTCAACGGTGCTGCTGCTGCTGATGCTGATGCTGCGCTGCCACCACGCGCTGAAGCATTGAAATACACACACATTCGAAAAACTTTGAATAATCATTCGCAATTTTCTACAACTCATCGTTTGTTAAAAATGTAATTATTTTCTAAAAATGGTTATACTTTCATGGCCTTTCGGGGCTTTCTGTGCGATTTGATGTGCATTTGGCTTGACAGCTCATTTGCTTTAGAAGAAATATAATTTATTGCAAAAATATTTCAATGTTGCTTGGAGGAATGTTGTAGTTCAGGCATTTCTATCGTTTATGGTAATCAATAGTTAATTTGTGAAAAGAGGAAATTTCCTTTTCTTTTTTTAGTTGAGTATTGAAAATGATGATTTATCATTGTAAGAATATTCACAGTGCATAATGCAAATGTCAATTATAGCTGCAAGGCTCATTAAATTGCTTGAAGAGTTCATGGTTGAATAAGCATTTATTTATTTAAGGAAAGCTGGGAAAATATAAAAGAATTTTATTTTAATTAAAACCATTCAAAGTTCATTATTATCGAATTTGAAACCTTTTCCCCGTAATTGGTTTCTTGGTAGCCGAAATTAGGTTTTTGCCAGCGGTTTCCGTTTCCCTTTTTGGTTTCCCATATCCGCTATTCAGTTTTGCAACTAGTTGCCATGGAATGCGATTTTTTCGATATAAGATTCAAATCGATAACTTTTTTCCCTATGTCCGGGCTTACACGAGGATACTTTTTCTTTTATCTGGTCTCTCACTTTGAACTGCATGTAGCTGTCTTAAATTTCAAACGAATAAATGCCGTGAATTTGGAAACCGAAATTTGGGTTTTCACTACACTATATATATGTATGTGCATGCAAACATATATGCTGTGCGTATACTCGTATTTATCCAATTATTTATGAATATTTCAGAAAATGGAGTTTGCACATAAAGTTGAATTAAAGCAATATATATTGTATTAGAGCGCATTGATTGAGCCACTGAGATTGACTCTGATGATAGTGAAGGATAGATTACACTTTGGAAATGGTAGAGTTGATTTTTAAACAAATGTAAAAATATATCAGGTGTACAACTTTGCTTTCGCCGTTTTTCTCCCAAAATTAAAAGCTTTATTGCGAAAAAGTGCTAACAGATATATTATTCAAAGTATTGTCCTTCGCTAACGACAACTTTCTCCCATCTTTCCGGCAATTTTCGGATCCCGGCAAGAAAAAAGAGTCCTCTTTTGATGCTATCCATGAAGCAATCCATTTTTCCAATTCTTGGAAGGATTGAAAATGTTGATCTGCCAGGCCGTGTGCTATCGAACAGAATAGGTGGAAGTCAGAAGGGGCGAAATCAGTGGGAATACGGCGGGTGGGGTAAGGCTTCCCATTTCAGCGTTTCCAGGTACTTTATGACCACTTTTGCGACGTGAGGCCGAGCATTGTCGTGTTGGAGGATGTCTTTGTCATGTGGCTCTTGAGATTGTGGCCGCTTTTCTTTTAGCGCGCGACTAAGGCGCATCAGTTGCAGTTTCTGAGAACATTCGATTCGCTTCAGCTGCATTTTTTTCGAATTGTAACAGAAAATTAGAACTTCCGGCAAATGGCGAGAATTAGGCACATAAACGGACATTTTCGAGCGTGAATAATACGAAAACAAGAACAACTGTCACTGAAACGGCGATGACAATTCGTTAGGCTCTGTCCACACTCACTTTAAAGGCATTATCATCTAAGTATTTCAACCAGCCTCAGCTGGTACAACCACCTATCGGAAAACGGCGGAATCAAAGTTGTACACCTGTATTATAAAAAAAATATATAAAATTATTAAAGTACATAGAAGTAGATATATAAAAACAGTGTTTTTATTTTAGAAATATTAAAAAGCGCGCAGTGAACGAAAAATTACCAGCGAAACTAAAGCGGAAAAGAGAAAAATAAATGAAGAAGAAACAAATGTCAAAAAATTAGCTTAAAAGAGTGTCTCATTGTGGACGTGAAAGGCCACACAAAAAATAATATTACGATAATAAACGACAAATGTTTTCTCATATAAACTCAGACTATGCAGCTGTGCCGCGGCATTGTGAATTACGTTGTACGTACTCTCAATTACTATCGCGAATTACCTCGTACACACGGCAAGCAGCACATGGCATGTCAGTTCCCTTTTTCTTTAGTCTGCTATCTTGCTTTCTTTGAAAATAGAGCGAAAATATAAGCTTTTAGTAAAAAATTATAAAATATTGCCATAAATTGCTGTTACGTTTATCAATTTTACTTTTATTACCAAATAAGGGACAACAAGAAAATGTAGTTGAACAACTAAAATATTGTCTTCCAGTTCATAACAGTAAAATTAAAAAAAAAAGAACCTACATTGAAAATGTAAATAAAATAAGAAACAAATTCTAATAAATCAGATAATTTCACCAAATTTAAAAATCTTCCGGGCATTATATATGCAAACATACATATATATATATATTTTTTTTTTAATAACATATATTTTCTCCATTCTCCAATATACAATTTTTGCTTAAATAAAATTCAGTTGGTTTTTATTTTTTTGGTTTTATTTTTTAGCTTCAACTCAACTACCTTCGGCCACTAATTACGCCATGAACCCTGCCTGCAAATACCATCGCCACGCCACCAATCGTTTACGTCCGTGTACCAGCGTGGTCTACGTAAGGACTCCTCATCATGTAGGAGGGCACATACACGACACCAATAAAAGGTATTAACAAAATCTCCCGTGCCCTTCCATTTGAAATATGAATTATACAGCTCATCGTCCTTGTCGAGTATGTGCAGATATTCGGCTAACTCTTTGGCCGAGCCAAACTCATCCACATGTATGTAGGAATGATATGGTGCGCTCACTTCATAATCCTCCGGCCGTGCACCCATTACAATTGGTAAAATATTATGTTTAAGTGCGTTGTTGAAGAATTTTTCGGTGATGTAGTCTTTGCAGTTCGAGTTTTCAAAGGCGAGGTAAAATTTATAATCTTTATCGAGTAGCTCGAAACATTTGTCGGCGTTATTGCGGGGACATTTTTGATTGCCGCAAGCGCCATAGATGTCAACCTGTGGGAGTGAAATGGAAGATGGTAGTTAAAACTGCGTAAACAGGCTGAGAAATGATGTCGTATGGCCGATACCAAAACGTTCTGTGGGTTACTGAGAGCAGGATTGAGAGTCCCTATTGCTAGCTGTGTAGCTAGTCTCTCTTAAGATTTACTGGCGCTTAAAAGGTAACAAGTACTCTCGCATGGCTAAGAATTGAATGGTTTGGATGGGTTTAGGCAATAGCCCAACAGTAGGATAATCGTTCAGTACGAGACGCACCATGTCGACTGCCATAGGAAGTGCATAAAGCCATTCAGGAGGCCAGGACCCGAGTTCTCGCTCTACCAACATTCAAAATTATAACAAAATATATTTTCTAATTGCGCCCTCCGTAGGGAGTATAGAGAACTTCGAGAGTAATTCAGAAATTAAATAAAAGCTTCACTTAAAAGTTCATCGGTCATTCGGAGGCGGCTTAGTATGGACTAAAGGCTCATCCATTTGTCGAAAAAAACATCAAGACGCACGCATAGTTCAACTTGGAAGAGGGGAATCGGCGAAGGAATCGTTTCAGCAGTTCAAAATGTTTGGTTTGGTGATAGACGTGTGAGCAGGCATTCCGAAAGAAGAATTTCTCTTTTAATCAAAAGGTCCGATCATGGGTGTAACATTACTGCCATTTCAGCGTGGGTCTAGGAAACAGTTTCAATAATTTATATAAAATCAGACCGAAGGATTGTGAGAGCTTTTCGTCAGTTCTATGAATGAAGCCAAGAAATACGATTGTGCCGACATTGCGTTCTTAGGAATAATTAGCCGAAGCAAATTAATAAACCCCTAAAGAAGGAAGCCTTTAGTAACGCACCTCAAATCGCGTTATGTCGTGTTACGGGAGCGATGGTCTTACACATTCCATATGAACCGTCTTCAAAAGAACTCTATCAGCCAAATTTAAGGCTCTTGATTGTGAGATACTAAGTTTTCCTTATAAAGTATAGAATATTCAAGCATTACTCACATCTATATACTTTTGCAATTCGCGTGCGAACTGTAGACGATTATTGCGTGCGGCACAATTCGAGACAAACCAGGCAACTTTTTTCGTTTTGTTTAGAGCATAATTGTGGTCCTGTTCTATTTGTTTGATTTTCGTATCATAATAGTGCCACTTGTCATAAGGCGCCATAATATCGCTGTCACGCCTGTGAAAGAAGGAAAGAATATAACAAGAAGACCAGTCAAAGAGGCCTTCTTACCTGTAGGTGGCCGTCCAATTGATGGCGTTCGGTGTTTGGACTTTTTGTGTATGATATGGAGATTCCAAATAATACATCAAGCTAACCTGCCGCGGATTCGATGGTTTGTCCAGGCCAGTCGGTATAAAATGATCCTTATACATTATCATATCGGCCTTATCGGCAAGATCACGATTCGTTGTCACTTCGCAGGTGTCCACAGGACATTTGGTGCTTAGGAAGACGTCACGCCCTTTATTAGAAAAGAAATGTGAAAAAATTGGAATATGTTTATGTATATGTTTTGTCCGCACATTACCTAGCTTAGCATCCCATTTATCCAGCCCATTGTAGAGTAATATTGTTTTCAGTCGTCCACTAGCGCGCACCTCCTCATAATTCGGTGGCACATACATTAGCTGATTAACGAGGCGATCGCTGTGCGGATTTTGATACGGAAAGAGACGGGCGCCAAGCATATTTTGCTTCTTGCCACGTCTGCCCGAACTTTTGCCGCGTTTGATATCACGCGATGGCACAGCGGGCTTTGGATAATACTCACCTTGATGGAAGTAATAAGGACGTGTGCCGTTACCCTCTAATAACGCCTGATCGAGAAAATGTTGTTGCTGCAGTTCTTGTTCGCTCTGTGCACTATTCGCTGCATCAACGGGCAGCGACGGAGTTTTAATAACGTCTGCAACACCATCCTCCGCGAGCACTGTATCCACACCATCTGACTCCTCGGTACTAACAACGGCCTCGAGAGCTGCTTCTCGATTGTGTGACTCAGACGTGATGTTGCTGTGGGTATAAGGCGGCACAGACTTCTGGGCTTTCCCGTCTTGTGTGCCCGCATGTAGTGGTTTTGGCGGGTTTTTAATTTTACCAATTTCATACTCACTAAATAAAAATACACAAAAAAAAAAACACGAATTTATTACGTTCAACTGATTAGATTAGAATTCACAATTCAACTTACCGTACTCTGATTCCGACTATGAGCAGTAACGCACAAGTAAGTATAAAGAAAATATATTTCTTCGAAGACAATTTCGGACGACGCATATTTTGTGCGTGCTTCTACTTGCCGGGTTGAGTTTGTGGTTCTTTAGCACTCGTTGTTTAGAACCGTTGTGGCGAAGGCACTTCTCAACCGCCGCCTTGCCTAGTCAACGACATTAGCAGAGTGTTTTTCATTTTTCTACGGGAAAAGCGAAATGAAATTGGTTCAGAAATAAATGTTAAAATGCAGAAATTTATACTTTTCGGGCGATAACATTTACGTTTACGAGTATGTGCTGTGTTTTGTGTTGACTCAGCTGTTAGTTCTCTCTGAGTATAATTCAAAACATAAAAGTCTAGCATCGCATGTTATCTCTGTGGTGACAGAACCTTGGTTTGAACAAATGGTTTTTGTAAATGGGACGTGGTTTCACCTTGAGTCAAACCCAAAAAGGTGGAATCTGTAAATATATTTTTGAATCGTTGTTGTCGTTGTTTTTGTTGAAAAATAGACCAATACAGTTTGCATATATTAGTATCTTTGTATACATACAGATGTATATATGTACATATATGTTTATATATGTTATATTGGGGAATTTGTGGAATGTACATACATACATATTGAATTTTGCTTTGAATAGTATTTTATAATATATCTTATCAAATGCTTTTCGTCGTATGGCTTGGCTAATGATTCATTACATGCTACAATAGTATTATAGTATATTTTTTTTTTATTGTACACCCCGCAATATTTTTACCTTTCATGACCGTTATCAAATTTTTTTTTAGGATTTAATATTGCTTTTCATATCTTAAAAATTGTTGGATAGGGTTTCTGGTTTCGATGATATTCGGTGACAATGTTTATTTTTATATGCTCGTACATACGTGTGTAGAATACCGAATCTTCATGCTTGTAGATCTTTTTCGACAGATTTTTGGCCCGAAATCGCATATCTGAACGAAACGGTTGTACGGGGTCTGTGATATGTGATATAGTTCACCGATATCTATGATTTTTGGTGTCACCGATATCTATGCTTATTTGCAGTTACGCATATAAAATATACTCTTCAGATTGATTTCATACTCTTAGAGGTTTTTTTGACAAATTTATGACCCGAAGTCTCTAGTACGAAAAATCGGTAATTCGTTTGGTAATTGAAAATGTCTTCCTCACTCTTGACATAATACGCTCTCAAAATTTTGTATGGCGACTTACGTTAGTCAATATGTATTTGGAGTACGAATTACGGCTAAGAGAGCGAAGAACGTAATTGATGTGCCTCCCGCATTAGCTGTCGTGGCCTCTGATATTTTTTTGAATAATAATTACCAATCATCCACACTACAATAACAGGACTATATTTTTTTATAAAATTAAACACCAAACATCACTTTTAGGAGTGAATAATTACTCTTTAACAACAAAAAAGTAGCTCCAAGTGGGTCTTTAGTACTTTACTCTCAATCTTTTGGTATTATAATTACCGAACAGCCTATCAATCGAAAATATAAAAAATATCACAAAAATTCTTTTAAAATTCCTCATAAGTTTGTTATAACCCTCTTATCGTTACAATAAAATATTCTAGACAATTTAATTTCTATTTAAACTTCATCAGAAAATACGCAAATAAAATATTTCATTTCTAGATATTGGTCATGGTTAACCGTAGGAGAGTAACTAATAGTGGTTGATTTCTTGCCATCTCTCCTTGCTGGGAGATCGTTTGTGCCGGTTCACTGCACTTCGACCCCGAACGTTTTCATTTCGCATTGCTGCAAGTGATCCACTTTTCATCACCACTCACCATCCGCTTTGGAAATCGATCGATTTTGATACAAGAGATTTTTTTCTCATTTAATCATGTGGTCAAACTCGATGATTTCCATTATTTTATCGACATATTCGATTTCGACTTGAGTAATTGTCATTTCACGAACACTTCTACAAAATTAAAGAAAATACTTTGAAATTTGAGCAGTGTGAAGTCAGCATTAGTGATATGAAAAGTATCGACAAATAAATTAATCGATATCACTTGAGGAAGTAGAATTTTCAAATTGGAATTGTGTGCTCGCAAATATGATTCGCGTGTGAAATGTACAAAATTAAGTGTGAAGAATTGTTTAAAAATAATATTTTCCAGAATTAAATAATTGCAATATGTGCATACTATTGATTTGTTGTAAAAAATCTATTCCGCCCGTGTCTTAATAACAGAAACGAGTGTAGTTCGGCTTGTGTGCTGGCGCGCCGTAGTGTTTTACCGAAATTTCGTAAAAATGAATGAAATACAAAGAAAAAATGTAAACGCTTCTCGTGCTCGTAAGTAAATAACAGTGTAATAATATTGTACAAAATTTTATATAACAACAATAAAGTTTTTATAACGTTAAGCAGCTGCATTCCAATAACCAACATAACCAACTTTCTCATGTTATGTTTTACTTCAATTTTTCTGTTTTCATTCAATTTTCAGCAATGTTTATTTTTCATTTTACGCGCAAAGCGGTCCAACAGTACACACATACCCACATACATTTCTATTTCCATGCCTTATGTACCCACCACATTAGAGTATATATTTCAAAAAGTTTAATGCATTGACTGCTTTTAAGCATATACATATGTATATAAGCACGTATGTACGTATGTTCCATGCCGTCTAGAATGTCATAGTAGTTGCCTTTACGGTTGAGTGCAGCATATTGCTAAATACTTAAATATTTTTTTTTTTAGTTTCTCCGTTTAACTTTTTTTAAATTTATTTTCCATTTAGAGGTTGCATTAGCATTATATTTGTGCATTTGTTCATTGGGTACTTCTCTGCTGATTTCTTTTCCTCCTCTACCTCCTGCGCTTTCATTACTCCCATGTGGTTCACTCGTGGTAGTTTCACACATTACTCATTTGGCTGAAGCCGCAGACAACTGTTGAACTCTCGCCTTTTGATGCGACTTAGGAAAGTGAATTGAGAAGCATTGGCGTACTTATGTACATACATACATACATATGTATGAATATAAAATACGTTTCTGCATTCAGCTACCTCGTTAAATAGTATAAATTTGTACAATTGACTATTTTAGCGTGTTATGTTGTGCGTGTGTGTGTGTGTGTGTGTGTGTGGGTGTGCTTATTTTGCATACAACTTGTTAAAGGCTGGTAGCTCACGTTTTCAGCTTAAAGTTAGACCTTTAATTACATTAGACATAAACAAATGCAGTGGCTTTAGCTTTGCACACGCTGTTGTGGGCAGGTAATCACTACTACTCATTGGCCTATTTATCCGAAGTCATGACTCGTTGACAGCGTTGACATTTGCAGCCGTACGGAAAGCGATCTGATTACAATTTTGACGTGCACGAAGTTGAAGGGAAAACGAATATGCAATCACAGTGTTGGAAAGTGTTTTAATTAGTGAGATGAAAGTAAATTTAGTTGTAAGAGAAGTGCACGGTTTTGGAATGGAGAGTCTAATGTCTCTTTGTATTTTCTTCTAATGACTAACAAAAAGTTTGCTTCGAAAGATAAAGTTCTTCTTTCACTTCTCACTAAATAAATAATTATTTGTTGTAATAACAAGAGAATGACAGGAAATTTTGATACAGAATTGGCGAGAGAAACAGTCGAGCAACAATTGACAGTGAACGAAGAAAGCGTCAAAGTAAATACCTAAGATAATCCAACATCGGCAGTGACAGTAAAGCACTTCGAATTTGGAATACCTGCAGAAGAGTTATTGTACCAAAATAGAGCCTGTGACCTCACCTCACGTTTTAGAAATTTGGGTCCAATCTCCCAGATGTGAAGAACATAGCAGCATTCAGAAATTAATATAAGAACTGGAGCTACTCGTAAAAGGCATCCGAAGAGCGGAAAACTTTGCTAGGTAGATGCCGCTTACTTCTTCTCTAGTAGAGATAGCGGAGGGCGGAAGGAAAACAATCAAGATATGCTGTAATATACTGATGGGTCGAGAAGCGGGGTAGGAACAGGAGCAGGGTTCTTCTGTAACCACCCCTATAATCAAGGTAGCTTCAAATTCAATGACTTTAACTCTGCCTTTATACAGATATTAGAGGTATTATACAAGCTGTCAAACGGGCAACCGCTTTAAAACGATGATCTTGTTTTTGGTGGACTGTGAATCGACAAATGCATCAGAACATGCAAAAAGGCAATTTACAGACTATAGCGGAAAAACAGGGCAAACAAGTGAATATCACTTGGGTACCAGGTCACGCAATAGAACGCAAAAAGAGCTGCCTCGCGCTGGCGCCGACGACGATATTGTTCCTCATAGTCTGCCTCAAACCTTTCAGCGCCTTCAAAGGCTGTCTAAAGCAGTAGTGGACTGTGGAGGAACTCTTAAAGTCCTGGAACACCTCCACCGTATGACGTACAACCAAATTATTGCACAGCAGTAGGGATTATACGCGGATTGCCACTAACTGGCACTGCATCTAACCCTGAGATATCTTCTTCACAAGGTGGGTAAAGTGAAATCGCCTGAGTGCGGAGTATGCACAAAAGATGACGAAATGCTGGAGCACTACCCCCGCGAGTGTCGTCAACTGATTGAGAAGACTCATCTTTCACCAGCGTGGACCTAGGTGAACAGACATAGTTTGAACAAATCAAATAATTGTATTAAATCGAGTTAAATGTTCGCCAAGGTATAGTTGGTTTATGAGCCTACGCTACGGATGCAGCCGATTGAGGTTAGGCCCCCAACCTTTGCTTTCAATCAACCAAACCGAAATGTTGACAACTCTTATCTGGATTATGAATGAGTGTAATATTGTTATTGAACATTTGATAAATTCCTGTCTCTTCACTTAAGCGTTAACAATTTTTCTTTTCATGACCGACTTAGTGAAATAAATTTTCCAATTAAACATTAAAAAGCTACTCGCAGCCATTTCAACAGAAGAGAGACATAAGAACATATACACATTTAGATAGCAGGCATGTGAATACATTTTAAAGATGCTCGTACAAGTTTAAGAAAAATATACACCAAAAATCCGGCTAACAAACATCACAACAGTCTCTAGAGTGTCTGCAAATTAGTAGCCAAACTGCCGGGACCTCTGCAAGTATTTCCACAAAAATTGTAGTCAACTGTTACACGATTTCTTGGCATGTTTAGA